CCGCGACGTCGATTGCTTACCATCAAGTGATCCGTCTGCTCGTTTACCGGCTTATCTCATAATATAGTATAGAATAGCCAAAATTAAGTATTTTAATACGAACGTCCACCGCCAAATGTTTCTATCGTCTTAAGAATTTCTTTCAAACTTGAAATCGGAATACCTAATCGTCAATTTATTATTGTTGACTTACCGAATCAATTATGTAGTATAAGTCTCTATATAAGACGGCAACCTCTCGCGTCCGGCTCTGGTTCAGACCATGGTCCGGAGCGAGGGGGACTGGGATGCCGTTTCCTCCTGCTGCGAAGCAGTCTGGCACGGTCCTCCTCACGCCCCGGCCGTCGTGAGAGACATTCCGGGCGTGGGGGATCGCGAGACGATCTTCGACCACCGCAAGCACGGGCCTGCGGACGGCGAGCACGGGTGACTCGCCGCCCGACCAGAACCAGTCCCGAGCATAAGGCGTGTCGCGTTCCGCGCGCGCCCCAAGGAGCCATCAGATCACCACAAATGGGGCCCAACAGGGCTGATGCCGATACGGAGCCGCGGAAGACTTAACGGGTTGCCGAGGCGCCGTCTCGAAGTGCAGGAGAAGGAACGGGGTGTTTTTTATTCAGTAAGAGTCTCCCTCCCTCTCGCCTCACCGCCCGCCTCAAAGTCATTGGATGATTTTCCCTTTTCAAAAAAAAGCTAGCCAGTGAAAGCGTCTGGCCCCGAGCGAGCCAGAGGCACGAGGTTCATCGTAGCCTACACTTGAACCAAATTGAACCTATGCACCCACTCAAGGTTAAAACCAACCTGAGTATATTTTCGACGAAATCGGTTTGGTTAAAATATTCAATATCGGTCTTTGGCGTGTTATATTAGAGGGTGTGCTGTTCCAGTTGTCTGTGGGCAAAGCCTTACCATCAGGTGATCCGTCGGCTCGTTTCCCGGCTTATTCCATAAAAAACACGTTTGGTCGATTGTAATGCCTACAATTCTTTTACTTGCTTGCAAAATATAGCATCACCTCTCTTTCTATTTCTTCAGAGATTTGCGTATGCACATCTTTGTTTCTCCGTATCTACGTACGTACCGGGCTATCAGCTGGCCGCTTAGACTTGAGCTCCATAACAATGGGGGTCAAATCTATTCACAGCAAATGGACACAATTCCATTTTTAAACTAGGTTACTAACTTTGCTATCGAACAATCCATACTTTGATCATCCCTAGAATAGAACATGAGACCTCTTGCTATTGGTCACTAATCTGTCTCACTTCGTGGCCAAAAGCGTTATTGACTGCTACGTGTATTGACTACATCCAACTTGTAAATTTACAAATGCTACTACAAAGGTACTAACTTTACTAGATTTATAAGAAAGTACCTGTTGCCCGCGACTTCGTCCGCGTATAATGTTATTCGTGGTTTACCCCATGGGAGTATTTAATTCGGGATAAAAAGTCGGGGTCCAACACCTAAGTCAGCCCATTCCCTGCCTGTATACCATATTTCATCAAAATCCGTTCAGCAGTTTTAGCGTGATTGACGGACAAAAATCGAAACAAAGAAACTTTCACATTTATAATAGTGATGGTCCAATGTCATTCGCAAGTAACCGACAGGCGCCACAAAATTGCACTCTACACAATTTCCCTGACATTGAATTTCATCTGTAAACAACATAATTACCTACCTGCTTTCTAGTCAACAAATTAATTATAATCGTCTACTTGATCTTAAAGAAATTCTATGAAGCTTCTTGTAAATGCCAAGCCCACTTATTTTTCTTTTGAAAGGAAAATAGTACCTAGTCCTAGATAGGTACCTAGATATACAGCTCCGGGAAAAAATATTTTCTAGAAGATTTATCGTGATATTCAAGGTGCATTTTACATTATAGGATAATAATAATAGGGTATTGAGAGGTAGATAGTCCCCCCCGGTTGCCATGGTTACAGACGGAGGTTGACTAGTGTCATGGCAACGGGACCTTGAATCCTGCATGTCTTGCAGGCCTTATTTTCAGATCGAACTTGATATTGAAAAATATTCAAAGATATAAAGCAATACATTGAATGTTCAAGTGTTTTCCTCAGGGCACTTTATATGTTATTAGATGAAAATTATTTTGTTGTAGGACGCATGCACTCTGATAGCACTTGGCAAGTTTGATCTTGACATAATATGCAATGATCTTACTGATACACGCTCTCTTTTATTGATAAAACCAATAACATGAAATAAAATTGTTATTGCAACAACTTACGAAAGACAATATGCTTGTGAACTTGTATTATTTGATTTTTCAATGCCAATGTCAAATAAAGAGCCTTTGTTTCTTCAAAACGTGAAATTAACTTTATTGTTTAACTTTTATGGTTTCTTGTTGTAGATGTGGGAAACTTTTTCCAGGTTTTTCAAAGACTTTGCAGGTCTCTATTATTTAGGGTTAGCAAGTTGCGAACAATACCCCTGGCCTCTAATATTGCGAAAGCCTATTGGCCCAATCAATCCTAATGAATGAGTCTACAGTACAGATTGAAACCTTAGGAAAAACCTGATTTGTACTTTTTACGAAACAGTTTTTGTGAAACAGACCCTTAAACAGATGCCCGAATACTGAAAAGCTGAGCAGCTTTTAAAGTTATACCTATATATCGGACCATCTCTGTCATTTTACAAACAATTTGTAGTTATACTTTAGCGCAAAAATTTAGTAGTCTTTCGGTATTCGGCTGTTAAAGTATTTAAAAGGAATTACTACATTAATGACGAGTCCATGCGTAAGGGAGTCGCTTCCAGTATCTGGTATGCAGTTTAATCAAGACAGGCCATTCAGATGTTACACGTGTAACCTAACTACACGTTTAATTCAGCACCATCGACCTGCTGTACGTATCTATCACAAGTTGAAACTAAAAACTTGTGAATTGGAATTGAAAGTATAGAACTCACGTGAACTTACTAAGAAAAGCTCGACTAGTTTCAAGTCACAGTGGAATGTGCTCCCTGCTCTTGAATAAGAGTCCCAATATGACATGAAACTAGTCGAGCTTTTCGCAATTATTTTAAAAGTTATTGCACAAAACGATTGTGCTTTTCTTGTATCGTTTTTTTCTTCTCTTATAATTTCTTCTGATTCACTTCGTTGTGGGAACCAAGACAGTTAATCATGTCCCTGGGACACGCCGGACTTCAGTTAGTTGTATCTACTGTAGATCCTGGTTTACAAGAGTTGCAGCGGTTTTGGGAGGTTGTGGCGGGCATGTTCCAACAAAAAGTTATTGCACAAGAAAATACCTATTGTATACATTTAGTCGTCACAAGACTTAGTACGAGTTTGTTTTACGTTTAATGTAATCGAAACGAGACCGTGTGCGGTTCTCTGATTGGTTGGTTCATTGGAGCCGGTCAATCAGTTCGCCTCTGGTTGTTGTTAAAAAATACTTAAGCATTACAACTCTGTTACTGTTTCTTTTTTGTTAAATAATCTCCGAAGTAGCAAGGGGTTTGGAATTGTGCCCGGTATATGGCAATAGGCTCACTCCCTATTACATGGGACACATAACATAAATAGTGAAAAGTGGATGTTACATTGTACAGTGGCATTAAGAGCCATAATGTGCGCCTCTGCTTAACCCTTCCAGGATGTTACGTTAAAACTTTTCATCTTATGAAAATCACTTGTTCAGCACACCCTCTACCTAATAGAATACGCCAATGACCGATATTGAATATTTTAACCAAACCGATTTAATCGGTAATATACTCAGGTTGGTTTTAACCATGAGTGGGTACATAGGTAATACCCTTCAATTTGGTTCAAGTGTAAGATGCGATGAAGCCACTCGCCTTCACTGGCTCGCCCTGAGAGAGCAACAGGTAGACAAAGACTTATACTACATAATTGATTCGGTAAGTCAACAATAATAAATTGACAATTAGGTATTCCGATTTCAAGTTTGAGAGAAAACGATGATAGAAACATTTGGCGGTAGACATTCGTCTTAAAATACTTAATTTTGGGTATTCCAATATAGCTCTATTCTATTTTTATTTTTATGGGATAAGCCGTTAAACGAGCAGACGTATCACCTGATGGTAAGCAGTCGGCGTCGCCCATTGACACATGGAACACCAGGATAACCGTTAAAAGTGCGTTACCGGCCTTTTGGGGATTAAGAATTTGAGGATTTTTGACGATACCTGAGTATTGGGAAGATTGAGGAAGGGGGTGGGGATAATCACTCACACGATGAAACATAACTCAAGCGTTGTTTCACTTCGGTTTTCTGTGAAGCCCATGGTATCACTCCGGTCGAGCCGGCTCATTGTGCCGAAGCATGGCCTCCCGCAATTTTTTTTTTTTTTAAGGGGGCAAAATCATCGAATGACTGCTCCCGCCTGTGTGAGGCGGGAGGGAGTGTCAGACTCTTACTGACTAAAAACCACCCCGTTCCTTCTCCTGCACGTCGAGCTGGAGCCCCGGTTACCCGTTAGGTTCTCCGCGACTCCGGATCGGCATCGGCCCTATTGGGCCCCATCTGTGGTGGTCTGATGGCTCTTTGAGGCGAACGCGACGCGCCGTACGCTCGGGTCTGTTTCTGGTCGGACGGGGAGCCACCCATGGTCGCCGTCCGCAGGCCCACGCTTACGGTGGCCGGAGGTCGTCCCGCGATCCCCGGCGCCCGGTGTGTCCTTCGCGATGGCTGGGTTCCCTCCTCCTCCTCCTCCCTCATTCTCCCACACTTAATCACGCAATTTTTGTACATGTTTTAGATCTATCCCCATTTTATTCATGTTTTAATTGTTATATAAAATAAATATATATTGTGCCTTGACAAGTGAACTAGTTTCAAGAGATGAATGGTATCTTATTGTCCAATCAATAACCGCAAAAGCTATAATAAGTTTTTCAACTTGCAACATGTTCAACATGGACTAGATATCAGTGTCCTGCTCATAATCTTTAAAAAAGCAACCCGTCTTTGTCCATCACAGAATTAAAAATGGAAAACAGTAAGATCCCCAAATCTTATGAGCCACGTAGAAGAAGCATAAAAAGCAGCATTATTGAGTAACGTAGAAATCTCATAATGTGCAAAGCTTTTACATTTTCATTTCATTCCCCGTTATCAGCATTGTCACAGTGTAGGGGAATTTTCATTGATAACACTACTGGACAAATCATTACTGTTATCATTTTGAAATTGATACTACGTTACATTGTCAACTCAATGGCTACCAAATTATTCGTATCGCATGGCCACCTACAGTATCAATTTCCAATCAAATTGCTGTTTGTATATCATTTACTAACAAAGTCGTGGTGTGTATTTTTTCCTAATTAACGTCCTCGTGGTAATCTTGATAAAAAAGAACAAATAAAATAAGAATATTTTATATAATCACATTTTCATATCGGATACATAGTATCCAAAATGAAAATCTAATCCATCGGTCAGTTTGGATATGTTTAACACTTTGACTTCATACTTTTTTTTCTTCTCCTCTTATAATATCTTCTGATTCACTTCGTTGCGGGAACCAAGACAAGTTATTCATGTCCCTGGGACGCGCCGGACTTCAATGTTCCGGTGTTTTCATGGTTGTATCTACTGTAGATCCTGGCTTACAGGGGTTGCAACGGTTTTGGGAGGTTGTGGCGGGCTTGTCCCATTAAAAAAAACTCATAACCCCCGATAATGAAAATTCCACCGACATTTGTTGTAGTCTCCAAACGTCGGAAATAAGGTAAAGGGCAGTTTTTAAGAACTGAGTTCACTAAATGCAAGACCGACTGATGTAAAGTTATTACGGTAAAAACAAATAGAATAATATACTTCGAATATGAATAACACTACCGATAAACGACTAATTATTTATACTTACTTACCAAGGGTAAGTAAGTATAAATAATAAAAAAGCAAGGAAAAGCAAGGGCTTTTCCTTGCTTTTTTATTTACCCCATCTCGCACGACGGCAATATCTCTGAAACGTGGTTTTACTAAAGGCGACTATCATATTGAGAGTAATCGCTTAATGAAATACGCTACATGTACTACGGAGTTCACTTTACTAATTTAATACCCTTGAGGTATTTTAATGTTGTTAGGACAAACAGTGACAATCTAGATTAATCTTTTTAAGTACCTTCGTACGAGCTGGCCGGAGTAACCCACAATCTAGAGCTTCTGCCGGTCTGCGAGTCAATTAGCTGAGCATTAGTAATACGTTTACGAATCTGGAAAATATTATTCTCCATGTTGCATCCATTTTTATTTTGTCTTTGCTATTTCTTGCTTTGCGTAATTCCGGATTATTTCTAATGCAATTTTACGAAGGAATATATTATTGTGTATTACTATAAATAAAACAAGAGTGTGAATATGATGATCACTCTACGGCTGCAGTTAATTAGCAAATCTCTAAGACCAACTTATCTGTATTTTATCGTTTCCTAATCTGAGGTATTGTCAACAGCGCCTCTACCTCCGGAGTTGTTGGACATACCGGACGTTCTTATGGAACGTTCTGCAAGCGACGGCACGATTGAAGAGAACTTTGAAGAGGAACTCGCGAGGGCACCAGAAGTTTATACAGAGGTATGTGACACTATATCTTTATACACGTAATTACGTAACCTGTAATTGTTCGCATCTCATCATCTCTCAATTATCCTAGGTAAAATACAATTAAATTATAGATCTTAATTAATTTAATAATTATTGGTCACACTCCAGCATTGCACGTGTAACGCAGTGTTGCGCGTTGCGGGGTCGTTACACGCTACACTTCTTCTCGCGAAGGTGAGAACACCTACGCCACAGATGAATTACGCAACTATTAATTTAATATGAAAGTGTCCTTACAATTAACACGTTCACTGAGATTATTGTAATATCATTCAGCAACAAACTTTGTTATCAATACAATGCCGAACAGTATCAGACCAAGCATACACATACAATCCCTTGGCGACCGGAGCGCTCGTGTCGTCATCCATGCATTTTAACTCGATGAAAATAACGTTTATAATTCAATGTCATAAGTATCTATAGGGAATTCGTTTGGGTCTGAAGCAAGTTAAGCTGCAGTGTGATCTTGTTATCCAGACTATATGAACGTTCAGTACTAAATTAAATGTGATACAGAAATATCGCGGGTCGGCCTTCGTTTTGATTTTGTTTATGCTTCTTAGTTTTAATGATATCGCTGTTTTTGTGTTCTGGTACGAAACGAGAAGAATCGTTAATATTATAGTGATATGCTAGAAAATATTCTGTCGCCGCGTAAATGTCAAGTGCTTGTCGACTGGTTTCTTTCTATTTCATTTGCTTTGAGGTTGCATAGTTTGTTTTGACCCATTTTTTCTTCATATTCTTCGTCATTAAAAAGATTCATAATATTGGTAATCGCTTTTTGGCTAGGTCTGTTATAAGTGTCGTGTAATATTCAACCCATTTTTATTCTCTTTATTCCTGATTGTGTTAAATCACATATTTTGGATAAACTATACTACGTTTATGAAAGTTTTTATAAAAGTGACGAGCTTAGTAACACCAGTATAGGTCGCTCTATGAGAAGATACGCTGACTTCCTTCGAAAGATTCCAGAATAATGCCAAATGCGGGGAAGCGTTGTAAACCAAGCGTGCTTGTATGACGATATGCATGAATGTGATGGAACCTAAAGAAGTATGTCAGAACCGTAGTATGCCTTCTCCATGGAACAAAGGCATGAGTTTTATAGTTATGCGTATTTATGCAGGGTTGGTTCCTGAAGGAAAATGTGGTGATGTTCATAAATACCGATACTTCAACAAATACCTGTATTTGTTGAAGGTTTTGACTAAAGTGTTTATAGTCATCCTCTTTTCGGTAGTTATTTATATCATCGTAATAGTGATTGGAACCGAATCTATTACCAAAAACTGAATTGGAGACTCCATACGTTTCTAAAAATAGTATACTGTCAAAAAGTTACAAATGCAGAAAAGTACGGTTATATAAATATTAAATAGTAATGAGATTTTTATATGTACTATCTACTTATATCATACCATTTTTTTTTTTTCATAAATATTTCTTTTTCCTAAAATAAACCAAACTTTCTCATTACTACTCGGAAAGTTAAACAGGAAGACGATAAGTTTGTAAGTTATTAACACTAGTTTTCCGCCGCGACGAACGATGTCGCGATGCTGCCGAAATCGGCGTAGCAACTGCTACGAGTTTCGTAGCAGTTTGGCGGACGTAGCGTTCGTTTACCTACGGTGGTGGCTACGCTGCCTTAACATTTTCTTATGAAATCCTAGATCTGCTAAAAGTACGTTCACGAAATTGTATTGCAAAAGATGGTTAGCAGAAGTTTAAGAAAATTCCTACTTTAAAAATCAATGATGAAATATAAATCAACTACGCAATAACATCAACATTGACATTGAATGCCTGCGAAGGATAGCAAATTACCACATGTTCTTGATCGATTACTATGCTATACCTGTCTGCACTTTATGAATAAATAATATTAAACAATTAATTTTGCTGTGTAATCGTGATAAGGGTGAATTTATACTTGCATTTAGATCTCTTCGCTCGACCTCGAAGATTCGTTCGCGGAACTCAATAGGACCGGACTTGTCGAGGTGGTCGGGGACGATGAGGTCGGACGCCGCATCATAGTCGTGTCAGCCTGCAGACTACCGCCCAACAAGGAGCTGCTACATGATAAGTTACTAAGGTACCACCTTTAAGTATTAAATTTACACCAATAAGTTACGATGCAAGTTTCTTACCACGGCATCTCTGTGACCACATAGTAACAATTCTATCATTGCAGATACCTCATGTTCACCCTGGACAAATATGTGGAGCAAGACTATAGTGTGGTATACTTCCATTGTGGACTGACCAGCAAGAACAAACCGCCACTCTCCTGGCTTTGGAGAGCGTACAAAGCTTTTGACAGGAAATACAAGAAAAATCTAAAAGCTTTGTACTTGGTGCACCCTACCAACTTTATACGCATAGTATGGCAGATGCTGAAGCCTGCCATCAGCGTTAAGTTTGGCAGGAAGATGATGTACGTCAACTATTTGCATGAGCTGCAGCAGTACTTGAACCTGGACAAACTCTGCATACCCGACGCCGTCCTTGAGTGAGTACAACTTGTTTACACATTCTTACCTAACGTGTTGGTACGCATGTAATCGTGTCGTATTCATGTGTAGAGGGCGCATGGGCAATCTGTTAAAGTGGACGTGCCATGAGACCTGCGCAGACAATCTTAGACGCATTAATTTAATTGTCGTGTTCCCCGTGAACTTGAGATGTTCGGAATGATATTGAGATTGCTTCGTTTCCTTCCCGCCACTGCCACTGGCATGTGCATATTCTGCATGTATGACAAATACACACCTGTCTTATATTAAATCCTTTTTCACACCCAGACCTCATTTCGTATTCGTTTTGTATGCATTTATAAAAGCACCATGCGAGATGTAAGTAATGGACAAAAGATCGCAATCCTCTTTTGTTATTATACACTGTTACCGACGAAAGCGTATTAGTTACGTACTACTCCTACTACGAATATAATAAACACGTAGTGTGGAGACTAAGTACATACGGGGAATGACGTTCTTTACAATATTTCTCTCAATCAGTATAGAGCTCATTTTTATTTAAAATTCTATTTTCTTAGTGTAGACATAATTTCTTTTATAGGTCGGCGGTTGGTTTGTGTTCCGCGTGTAAGGCAATATTAACTCGTCGAGTACCGGTTTTGCAGACACAATTATAGAACAATAGGTTGCGGTCACCGGTGACCGCTTGGTATTTGACAGTTTAACTCAGCGTGCGAACTTAAACTGTCCCCTTGCTGGACGTGCCTCTCTTCACGCGGAGGAGGCCTAGCATTGACCACCGCCGCGCTAACTCGTTGACTATATCCAACTTGAAATTTGGACTTTCGTTCAGGTTTCTTCCCAATTGTTTTCCTTTGCCGTCTGTCAAGCTTGCCTTGATAAACTTTTTGAGTCGTACACGTAACTTGAAAAATTTCCCTTAGCACTTGCTAGGTTTCAAATCCATTCTTGAGAAGCGGGCCTTGTAACCTGCATACATAGTGACCCAAGTCTCTTTTGACTTAACCTCCTCACTGTAATAGGGGTACAAATTATTATAAACCTCCTGAAAAAAAAATTTTGATACTATTAATGTGTTCACCCTTGCCACCCTTTAAAGAGTAAAAAGTGTCCTGTAGTTTCTAAATCAGTTGCCGTGACTGACTTAAATCTTATTAATATTATAAATGTGAAAATTTCTTTGTTTGCATGTCTCCGTCAAGCACGCTGAAACTATTGAACGGATTTTCATGAAATTTATACAGAATACACAATGTCTTAGATGATAGTTGATAGATAGATTTTTATCCCGATTAAATTTTCGCATGGGATAAAACAGGAATACGCGGCAAAGCCACGAGTAAAAGCTAGATAACAAACGTAACACGTAAAGCTCTACCTTTTAGTTTAAAGTTAAAAGCTCATTATATTGTGTTTTAATCCCTCAATCTTCAACATAAGCGCATAAAACAACGCATTCTATACGAAAAATATACTGGAGCATGATAAATAAAATAAATGGTGAGTGCTAAACAACCCTTATAGATGTAGGTAGGAAGCTAGTCAATGTTAAGATCGTAACGCGAACGGAGCGCTGTGTAAGTACAGCCGTTGCACGGGACGCGCGCCGCCGCCCGCCTTCGAAACAATTGCACTTTCCTCCTCGGTCTTGACTAACTTGACAGACCAGTCACAATCGTCAACCACTTTCGATAGATTCGCTCCCTTAGTATCATTTACAGGACTAAGCCCGAAGCGCGAGGTTCCGTTCCGCGAAAAAGTTTTTCTCGTATAAAAGTTCTATTAAAGTTGAAAAAATGAAAGCTTTTTTGTCCTGCTGCGGGTAGGTTAAGTGTTAAAAATTGGAAGTAGTTTTTTATTTTTTGTGTTATAGTCTGTGAGCTTTGTGTATTTTTTTTTTATTATACTTTTTGTAATCAGTGCTTTTTAAATTTTATAGTCGATCTCCATACTTGTTTTGTCGTAGTCATGTTTTTTAATTTCTTTTTTCGTAGTAATTTCTAGAATTTTTTTTTCTTTTCGCAAGTAGTGTTATTGTTTCTTCTGAATAATTAGCGGTGTCAGGTACGTATTCCTTAAATTATTTCATGCTTAAATTAATTAAACTATGTAGACTTTTGATAATTCCAAGTCTAGTTTGAATATAGTTTCCCGCCAGAGTGCGCGGTATGTGAAAGTGATTTTCTTTGGATTGAAAATGTGTGGATTGAAAATGTACCTTATTGCAGGGACATAAGGAACTTTTCTTTTTCTTAAAATAAAAGTGTGTCACAACAATTTAAGCATGTTAAGGTCTTAGGGCCGCATCAATATTGTCAAAGTCACTTGATTGCTCATTACAAATTAATCATTAGCGTTTGCTGTAATACTTAAAGACTTTTAACTATGGCAACGCAGGATTTTTGCTCTATTTAAAAAAGGATAGATATAAAAACTAATCTTCAATTACAAATTGCATACTAAATACCAAATACTTATTCAATTTTAATGTAAAAGTTTATCTATATAAATAAAAATGAATTTCCGTTCGTTAGTCTCGCTCAAACTAGAAAACTGTAAAACGGATTTGGCAAATTTTGATCTTGATATGTTCATGGAAATCTAAGGAGGGAAAATTTAAAAGGTAAAAAAATACTTTTTAGGTGGAACAAGTTTGCCGGGTCAGCTAGTCTATCTATATAAATAAAAATTACTTTCCGTACGTTGGTCTCAGTAAAACTCTAGAACGGCTGAACCGATTTGGCTAATTTTCGTCTTATAAATTCCAGGGAAGGTTTAAAAGGGGGAAAAAAATTAAGCAGTCCTAAGTTTGCTGGGTCATCTAGTTTTTAGTAAAATTTCGCAATGTAGTTTAGTCGTAATTTTTAATAAACAAGTAATGTAAGTAAAATTAATATTTTTGAACACACAACTTCCTCATTCATGTTATAATTATAGAATTTATTAACGTTATATTTCGAACACACATTGATTAAAATACATAAAAAATTGATAAATTAATAATGCATATAATAGGGACGTTCCGTAAGCACTAAGCTTAGAATACCATTTCTAATTCGCCGATGTAATAAAACGGTGTCATAAAAGTATGAACGTTGATGCAGCCAAGTATTTGTTCAAGTTCAATGCTATAGAAGTTTTAATAAGTATCCTTTAAGTTTCGGTCAACAGCTCAACTTGTTGGATACTTCCACTGAAACTTCACGGCTGTCGGCCGCTGACCTACAGACCTCCTGCCCGCCAGTTGTAGGCCACTATCCTGACCTTACCTCGCTTTCCGTAACAGAGAAATTCTCCTCATCTTAGTATTTGCCACGAATTTTCCTAACTTCAGTAATAATAAATAAATAAAATAAAATACTCTTTATTTCAGACCAGAAGCATCGATAGGTGGTTAGTAGAAATAACTTATATCTATGTTACTAGGTACACTTTAGTAATTAATTAAGTAGTAGTAGTAGGAAATGTTTGTTATTCGTAAATGCATCCACGAACAACATCACCGATACCAAGATTTTTTTATTATTTATAATGTAAATTCAAAATTTCTTGCAACAATATATTATTTTTGCAAGAAAAATGCTAATGTCTACAATCCATACGCTGTTATTAGTAGCTAAATACATAATTACTTGGCTTGACTTTATTGACTTTACTACCAACAGCAGATTTTTCAATTATTCTACCGGCTATTACGACCTAATAAAAATAAAAATGTAAAACTAAATGTGGTATCGACGAACGATTCTGCGTATAAGCGTATTATTATTTTCCCTTTAATAATTTCTATTCCCACAATAACGGACTAACCTATTTACAGTGCAAAGGTGCACCCTGAGCACTACGTACCTACACGTAGTTTAGAGTCGAGATAAATCTTTCCCTTATCTCCTTGCTATAATTTGCCGCGCGAGTAAGGATTTCATTCAGTTCGTATTTTTAGATATTGATATCTAAATTACGTCTAGGAGATCGATTACACGATTGCAAGTTGAAGTCAAGGCAGTTGTAGGTAACCCCGTCAGTGGGACTAAATTATTCAGCTGCGTTATTGACCTGAATATCGCCTGTCGACAGCCTACAACTGGTGCAACATTTATTCAGAACTATTTGACCTGTCAATCAAAATAAAGCCCTACGACGCGCAGAATTGCAAGGCCGCGGCCCGCGGACCTCTTCTCCCTCAGACCACAGGGGGTGGTCAGTGTAATCTGTTTACAAACAAACGCAGCGTGCTCCGAGATTTGTTTGTTTATTTTGTATTGTTCCAGCGTCCGATAAGCTCTGTACTTTGTTTAGTACGTGTTATTTCACTACTGTAAATTGAATTATAGTAAAAAAGGAATTATTAAATATAAATTGAGCTCACATTTCCCCAATAAATAAAAATGTAATGTAGTAGAAAATCACTCTATGTTTAGCTTCACCCCGACGTTCACTTTCAATCGAAGCTCTTCATTACCTTCATTAATACATAGCTAGACCGGCATGGTACACCAAGGTCATATTCACACGTATGAACTTGGTTGCGTGGCTTTGATTCTTTCTATTTTCTATCAGTTCAAAACAGTACTTGGTAACTGTTTCTTACAGCTGAAGAAGAGGAAACATTCGCATAATCACTAAAAATAAGTCATTCATTAATCAATTATCGAATCTAACTATCATTAATACTGTTCTGTAATGGCATTCAAAAGAGCAATCGACGTATTAATGAATATTAAACGCACATTTACTTCTAAAAAGTCCGAAAATTCTGAAACGAAACGGGATCAAGAAGCCTTGTTGCCAGAGATTATAATCATGGAGCAGAAACCGAAACCGAGTAAACTTAACGAGATACCAAGTCGAGGTGATTATATGGAAGGTTCCAACAACAGCGTTGAAAAAATATCAAAAAAACAGGATCATCTTCCTCAAGTCTTCATTGTGAAAGAACTGCCGGGCCCACCAAGATATCGCATAACTTCCGAGAATATTAAGACAATAAAGAAACCAAAACAAAGGTCTTCTGCTGTCCGCATTCTCCAAGCGGAACCATCGAACTTTCCGTCCGTACATACAGCAGGGAAATTGAGAAGAATAAAAACAACAGGCAAATACAGTCTTGAAGATTGGTTCGGCGCTAAAGAAGAGTCAGCCACAAAGACGAATGAGGTTGATGAATTGACGATGACACGACGCCTTGCCCCATTGGCGTTTGATGAGTTATTTGGCTCGAAACAAGATTTAACTGCTGTCATTCCTGAAGTTGAGAAGTTGGTGTGCTTGAAACGTAGTCAAGGAGATTACTTGCCCTACGACAGTGAGCAGTTGTTGGGTACTAGACAAGACAACGCTCCCTTTGATCCTGATGATTTGTTTGGCACCAAGTTGGATGAAGCAGTGACGTTTCCCATCATCCCTGAGGAGTTATTGCACATAAAGCGAAGCCGTGACAAGCCGTCACCGCTACCCATTATCATGGAGGAAGAACAAGATATCCGGCAGCGTGAAGCGGCTTGCTTTGCCGTAGGATACGAAGCTATAAAATATTTAAAGCTCAGTGGAACACCAATTGCGTCATCTTCACCTAATAACACTGAAAAGCGATGGTGTGTAGCCCAAGCAATCAAAGCATGCCATCCTTTTCTCTATACTTTCCATTATCTAGGCAGTGATTTTATGCCTTAATCACGGTGTTTTTGTTGTAGGTATGACAAGCTGCTGCTGTCGAAGAACCCGAGGGCTGCCGAATCGGCTCGTCAGAACACAGTACCGGTGGAGACGTCGCCCATTGCGAAGTTCAATAAGAAACCCACGAGCAGCCTCTCCCCGCCTCCGACGCAACAGTTTGGTGTGTCGCTATCATTCATAAAGGAGAACAATGCCAACATGGTTGGAGCTATCCCGCCAGTGGTGCGGCAGTGCGTTGAGTTCTTGTCGCAGCCTGACGGTGAGGAAACAACACGATTCATGACTTTGACTGTGACTTCAATATTGATTCTATAGCAGTTATATATTTCTTGTGTACTTTTAGCTCTGGAGACGGAAGGAATTTTCCGTCGTTCAGCGAATATGTCAGTGATCAAGGAGCTGCAGAGTGCCTGCAACAGGGGCGAGCCTCTCCACTTTCGCAATGATCCTCACAACGCGGCCGTCCTGCTGAAGACATTCTTCCGGGATCTTGAGGAACCCCTCCTGACTTTCGATTTATATGATGAGATAATGGACTTCCAAAGTGAGTTGAAATATTAATTTTGATCTTTAATACCTTTAGCAAACTGTTTAATTTGAAACTGGCATGGCAAAAGTATTCCTAAAGAATGCAAATGCGAATTATTGCATAGCTAAACGAATTTTACTACTAAACGACTTTTTACTCAACTACTAGAATGGTTATGTTTTGCGTGCGTATCTTGTATTGAACAGTACTTATTATATTATATTTGTGTTTTAATATATTTTATGTAATACGTTCTAGACTGGTCGCCGCGTGACAAGCCGCGCAAGGTGAAGATCTTGATTCTGGAGCGCCTGCCCTTGGATAACTACATGTTGTTAAAATACGTGTTCCAGTTCTTATGGAAGGTTAGCATTACAATTTGTACAACTTTTTTACTGGGATTTGCTCTGGACTTCGTGCTGATTACTGAGAATATTGAAAACGATGTTCTTCTAAACACAAAAAAAAAATAGAGTTGTAAAAGTGTGTTAATAAAAGCTCTTACACAATAATGCAGATAGCAATAAAAATACTGCCGCGTATCCTCTCTAAGGAAAGCAGATGCATGTATAGGGCTCAAATAGGTACTACTTTATACAATGTGTTTCATAAATATGAAATAATACGTTCAGTATGCAAAAGTATTGATGTTACAAATCCATTGCACCGGTAATGATTTATGTAGCAGTTTTATAATTATTTTACTCTATAGATTAGAGCGAAAACTTCCTACTGATAATATTATCCCCGCCATAAGGCATTATGGAGCGGGGTTTACTAGCTACGCCTATGAGTGTAGCCGTAAAGCTATGTATATGTTGATTAGGATTGTCATAAAGTTTTATGAACGATTCTTTTTTTTAACTTCTGACTAGGTCAAATTGCTATAATACTTCAATACTTCAATGACACAATTATATTATTTCATATTTATGATACACCCTGTACATTTTAATTAAGTCTATTAACTTGGTGGTCTATATTTCCAGGTGCAAGACAGGAGCTGCCTGAACAAGATGACGACGAGCAACCTCGCCGTGGTGTTCGGCCCAAACCTCGCCTGGCCACCAAACGGACAGATGTCACTCTTGTCCATCGCGCCCATCAATAACTTCACCGACTTCCTCTTGTCACACCAGGAGTCAATCTTCATAATCTAAACACTATAATTTTCTATTACCTCTAATCCCCGAGGTAAATTCAACTCTATTCTAATGTAGTTAAAGTGAATGTCTGTCAAATGTTGATATAGATATGCCAAATTTTTGTTAGAACGGCGTTGGAAGTATAGAGAATGTATACATTCATTTATGAAATTACGGATTTATGGCTAGAGTCTAAATTTGAATCTCTTGTTTTGCTTGCGCTTGTACCACTTATACGTGTTTCTAATTATTATGTATTTATTGCTATTTAATGCTTATTTATTTACATTATAAACTTGCTCATAGTTTGCAATCTGAAAAGGGTTAAATTTGTACAAAGACGCCCAATAATCAAGTTTGTTTGGCTATATAGTGTCTTCACAAGTCTTATTGACTCTTATGAATAACATGGCTGCGAAAAAGTATATCTCATATGCAAATAAATATTTTTACTCGACTTGAATTGGACCTAAAATATATAAAAGGCACTATATGCAGGGAATATTACAATTTTATCTTCTTGTTTAACAATAGTACTTTGATAATGCTTTACTAAAAGCTTCAGCAACTAAACAATTTTATGTACCGTAGATGTCATAGGTTCATTCTCTAACCCGACCAATCACATTTTGTCAAATAGTTTAGTTACATAGATCGGCCTTATAAACGAGGGTTGTGTTATAAAACTCTTTTGTATATCAATACTCCACTAGTAATATTACTATAATAAATATCTAATAAAAGTAATATCCGTTCCAAAGTCAATTCCATCCGCCGTAGCACACGTCCATGCTTATAATGCTTTAAAAGATCACTCGGTAATAAATAACAGCATAATTTATATACAGATACTCAAAATGAGAGTTTTTAGGAATATTATATAATATTTACAAGTACATAATTCGTTAAAACTACCTTTTTAAGTATAATATAATTCATTTGAACCCAGATTTGCAGTCTATTACATACATACATAACTTCACGCCTGTCTCCCGTGGAGGTAGATAGAGACTATGGAACTTTATTGATTCTCTTTTTACAAAAATACCATAACTAAATTCTCAATCTGATTGCAAAATACAAAGAATTTTCTTGTTCAATACATCTAGAAGTTACTGTACACATACACACCAAAGAGTTATTCTTGTTATTTCTCATTATGTCCAATACAAAATTCAGTGTCGTAGTAAGTTTACACTCGGATTAATTTATTATCTTAGTTTTTTTCATCATCAAACCTTGTCAAAATTTCAAAACAGATTATTACCCTCTAAAACTTGTCGGAAATTCCCCTAGTACTTTTACTTTGTATCTTCATTTCCTACAAGTACTGTTTGCACTGAAAAAATCACTATAGTGATACTGTAATGCGGATTTATATATCGATTTGTTAATAATTACTATATAAGTAACAACTGTTATTCTTTATTATAGAATGCTTCTTAGCTTGTAGGCGCTTTTGAATAAGAATTATTGCTTATAATTCGCACAAGTGTTAATTCCTGCTTCTTCCAAATCGTAATTTGTATAAATAATGTTTTTATTATATAATAATAATAATCATCAATTCGGTATTATTAATTCGCTTAGTAGAGCGATGAATATTTGGTGTAAAGGTGTATTAAAAAATATTATAATTAGATACGACTTTCAAAAAGATATGAAAACATTCCTAAGTGTTTGGCTTTATAACAAAAATTTTATGAATTGTACACAGTAAACAATTACTGTTGTCTTGCACCGTGATCTGAATTCATTCAGCAGCGGCGAATTGAAACCACTGCATTTATAAACAACCATGCCTTTTATATTAATATTCCATAAAATTATCATAATATAGAATGTTATTGTACCTGTTTGTAGTAACAGAACCTTTCCTTCAAGTCTGGATTTTGTTACTAAACTGCACGCATTGTAAAGGACTGATAGAAATTAATGGATCTGATGTAAATACATCTATTATATAAACGTAGAGCGGAATTCTTACGGACTGCAGTTTTTAAACTATTTTTAATTTTGTACCATGCCGGTAACATGTCAACGCTTTGGACCTAATCTAATTAATAAACATCTTTGTATGATCAAATGCATAAAACCGCAAGAAAGGTAATCAATATCAAATATTTTTGTACTAAGGACAGTGATCGTTATAAAATCTATAGTCCGTAAGAGCTCGTCAAACATTCTACAATATTGTAAAAGTTTTTACAAAATTTTGATAATGTTTCTTCTTTGTACTTTTATCACGAAGTACCATAAATTCATATTAAGTACATATATTGTAAACCTACCTATGATACGAGTATAGTTATGAATATTAACACATATAATATATAATTATGTATGGGGGATCTTATGGGGTAAATTAATAATAGTATCCCATGGACGTTGTAATTGTTATTTCTGTACTTTAATCAAAGCATGTTGATTTGGCATATCTGTTGATCCTAAGATCATATCGTTATGTCCCACTACATGTTTTACATTATTATTGTTGCTTCTATTTGTGAAATTGACTTATAGACTTTATAACACAAGTGAATTGTAATCTGTTCAACGAGTCTTGCAATAATGCCGCTGGGGTTCATCCTGTCTATCTGTAAATTGATAAATTATCCATGTGCGATACTGGCCTCCATTGTAACGGTTTATTGTGGGTCACTACTGCACTACAATGCAGTCGTACATTCGCTCTTTGTGAGTAATTTCTGCGACTTCCTGCGATACTGTGTGACTAAACCCGCGGTACTATCTCAACTTCTTATACGACACTATGTGATTGCAATCACATCACACCATGCACAAAAACACTCTCAAATAGTATGTCGAATAAATAATGGGACGATTCAATAGTTAAATGAATTGGCTGTTTTTAATTGTGATCTTAGCATTCCAAACAAAAAGTAAAATATAGTGTATTTATTACTATCTCAAATGTATTAGAGCAACTATAAACTTATTGTTGTTACTCACAGAAGCCTATAATATTATATCACATGGGATAACGTATTTATATTAAAATTAGTAACTAAGATTGTATACCAAAAATAACAAAGAATAGCAGTTATGTAGTTATAAGAACACATCTCTATTAGTTTATTATCAAGATGTAAAATAGTTGTTTAGTACCTACACTTTCTTGTTTAGTATTTGATTGAACTGGTTACTAATGTAATATATGGCCAGTGTACATGTGTGCTATGTAAACAGATATCTTTATAAACACATTTTGTAGATAATTTCATAGGAAGATGAACATTTTGCTAAGAAAATATCTACAGCGCGCCTACGTATAGTACTTGTTTCGTGAACTCTAAACGGCATAATTTTTCATATATTTTATCTCTATATTCCTGTTTTCACTGTATCTTTAAGACGTTGAAGTTTTATTTTGTTCTTTTTCAAGTGTTGGAGACGAAACATGAACTTTGTAAGTTAAGGAAGATGTGTCATATCCTGTAAACTCGCCGCTGGTAACGAAACTTGTGTAACGTATAAATAAATAGCACCTAATGCGTAAAGCGAGATATCTCTATATGTACAATGGGTATACACGTGTCGTTCCCTGAAGTTGATTATATAATCAGAGTAATAGCGGTCTGGCGGGGAATAATCTTTCTATCAAGCCAGTTAACTCGCCAATTTATCACTCTAGTGCATAACTTGCATGACAGAATTGCCTATAGAATCACTTGGTATTATTTCATATTTCAAACGTTTGATTTATATCTACAATATTTCTTGTCTTTTCTTATCTCTATTATAATTTTTTTTCTGCTAAATTTATGCAATAACTTTGTTAAAGTATACAACGTTCTTGAACATACTCTCTTGTATGTGTATAGATACTTGATTTACGTAATACAAAGTGTAACTAACAGTGCCATTTGCTACGAAGTACCATACTCTTGGTGTCACAAACAAATTCCATTTTTCCGAGTTAGAATATAGAGATTTATTAATGTAATTTTGTAATAGACAAACGTCTATACAAAGATTTCCTTCATGTTGCAATGTTGATTGATATTGCATTTCGTTTACTCGAAATGACGATAGATGGCGTTTTGTTCAATTAACAAGAAAGTGTGTCGGCGTGTGAGTCAGACTAACCGGTTTGTCGTACACAATTTTAAAAATGAAAGTAATTGCACGTCATAATAATCACCACGCCAGCCTACGGTGATTGCCATCGCGATATCGCGACATATGAACCGTTGAACAATAACCTTATTGAGATTTAGTATTATTTTCTGTAAGATTTTTATTATATTTATTTTTTATAGATAGTTGTCGTAATCATGAGGAAATTATCTTAGTTGAATGTACAACGAAGTTTATTTAGCTCTTTATTTTTTATTTTATGAATTAATATTGTAACCGGAAAGGGTATTTGTAAGATTTACCTAATTATTATGTAAAGGATGATGTTTTTAATAATTGTAACGGACAGTATGTAAGTTATGTTTCGTTGGATCTGTGGCTTTATGAAAGCTAAGATACACTTTCTAATAAAAAATGAATTTCTAGTGCAAAGATAAAATATAATAACAACATAATACATAATTATGTAAAGTTGGACTCCTCACACAATAGTGAATGACAGTCCCTTAACTTCAATATTTGTACATTTTTTATTAGCAAGCTGTAAAGGAGGTAACGTATTTTTTTTTATTTAATTTAGATCTAGTTTTGTATTTTAGAGTTAATTGTTTAAATTTTAATATATGAATGTTAACAAAATGAAACACTGTAATAACTTGAATAAAAATTATTAGTATCAATTACTTGTGGTTTTTTTTTATATTACGATACAAACAAAACAAAGTGTATGTGTGTTGTATGCAGAGAAAATCCTAGAGTAGGGCTCTAGGATTTTCTCCTGTGTCGTGGGTGCGCTAACAATGTTTTTTGATGCAACCTTGATTATACCAAAGAGTATAAGTATAAGGGAAAAAGTAAATACAATATACAATAGTATGTATTATAATTTATATATAATATCTAGAACATTTGGATTTTATAAAACTCGAAAACAATATACCTGCGAATAAAAATAGTGACGTACGCATAGCGCAGAGCTGCAAAAAAAATGAGCTCGCTGTAATTTGACATCTGTCAAAAAATTACTAAATAAGGTAAGTTTAATAGGTACTTTGAATAAGTTTACCCTAAGAGACTCGGTTGCCAAAGAAGAAAAAAAAAGTTTACCCTAAGTAATACAGAATGAGAAGTAAAAATATCTCGGCCATTGCATCGCTGGTGCAATTCAAATAACACAATGGTTGTAGATTGATTGATTGCAGCGTTGATTTGATAACAAGCGACGACCAGTGCTAACCTAGTTCAATAGCATTTGCAAGCTAACTCCTTTTACCACCTACTAGTTGAACTACAAAAAAATAATAAAATGTAATATAATCCCATGGGTTTATTCTGGCTTTTTACCCCACTATGTGATAACATTATAAAAAAGCGGAAATGCTTATTCTTTTAGATGATGCTCTATTTTAGTCTAACGTAAATAACTTGTGTGTAAGTCTTGTGGTTTATAATATTATTATACTGAATATTTAGGGATTTATTCACTGCTACAAATCACAATGGATAGACATCGACAGGTACCTATCATCATAATTATAGTAGACGATTTAGCCAAAGGGATCTTTGTTACAAAATTTACTACAATAATGGTATTTGACTTCCAAAAAACCTATAGGTTGAATACTTTATTTCGCTGTTAATTATCTACGTCATTTATATCAGTGGTCTACCTAAATAGTTTACAGTGAATAAATCAGGTACCTACAACTTGAAATGCCATGTCAAGGTGAACCTTTAAATAATTAATCTACTTAGTTAATTTTTAAATGGTAAATTTGCTGTAGAGCGTTGAAAACGATTACCTCTTTGACTCAAGAATATACTAACGTAGGTATTCATTGGCAAAGCATACCTACCTAATATTATTGTAAAAGCCGCGCTGCTTGTGGCGCAACGACCATAGAGTGGTTGTCAATTTAATATCTGCCTGTAATATGTTGTCAAGCAGAGTTATAGAGAATACCATCTCTACAGCTTATCGATGAATTAATTATATGTTTTACGATTATTCAACTTTATTAATATAAGTAATTATGTGTAGACGAAATATTAAGCATACTGTAGTTGTGTTGTTCATGGAACGCTAAAAATAAGATTAAAATAATCATTTTTGTGTTGGTAGAACCGGAATAAATGGGAATTTAAGAATCTGGATAATTAATAATTCCTATAATTAATTTTAATCATGTTGTATATATTTAATTTAGTAATATTTAGTTATAATTTTATTTAAGTAATAGTTTTAATTTAAGGTTTTTTTTTAAATAAAAACAAAATAATATATAGGAACATGTTTTTCCTAGAACCTGGATTAAAAATAACACTAAGCTAGTATTGAGTAAACCTTACTTAACACATAAAACAACTTGACTCTTTTGAAAAAGAAGAAACTAGAGTATAATTAATAATATTACATTATGTCATCCGTTGTCCGTTTAAAAGAAGGTATATCATTTTCTTGTTTTCTAACCAGGCGCATGTAATTCAGCAGATAAAGAAAATACTCATAATATTCTGTTAATGTTAATAAAATATATAAATTTCATAAACAAATAAATAATTATTGTCGAATGATGCGTGGTCCAACACTATTACTCATACCACTAGATACCATAGACCATTTTCTACTAAAACATGTTTATTGTCTAGTAGCTTTTCTTGTTATTTGGTTAATTTTGTTGATAAAACATATTGCTTGCGAATTATCAATGACTCTAATCACATTTTTGTTTTTTATATTTACCTATTTTCCAAACAATTTGTAAAACTTTCTACCATACTTTCTCCACTTTTTTGATGTTGCAACAATTTTAACTTTTTTTCGACGAGAGCGCCAACTGGTGACTAATTTCTGTAACTTCATATTGATATCTCTGGCTCTATGTTCATGTTGTAATTTATTTTAGTAATTTGTGCTACTTGCTGACAAATCCAATGTTTATTAACTATGTGTTCGTGTTTGGTTTATTCTCGGCTTTAAGGATTTAAAAATCTTGTCTCCATGTATATGTTATGCGGCAAGTTACTTTCAAAACCAATGACATTAGATGAACTCGATGTGCGTTTTGGCCATTTTACTTGGCTTGCGTTGGTGATTCGTACATAGTCACGTGACCAAAGTAGTTTTTGGATCAATGGCGCCAAATGTCTGTTACAGAAAATGTATGTGAATTATGAGGTATTTAAACATAGTGCATTATTACAAATTGATATACAATCGACTTGTTGTATGTATGATATACATTGATAGCGAAACGATGGTGAAAATGATGCGTAGGACTCACGTCAATCTGGCAACAAAACAGTGCTGCTATCTATGTTGTCAACTTTGTTATGTAGCCTACAATGGAGAATACCCGTGAGATAAATATTTACGGTTAATTATTATAAAATGAAAATATCGGATCCTTGCGCGGTGTGGTGTGAGTGCATTTTATACATAAGTGATGGCCACAAGTGATTCTGTCGGCGCGCGGCTCTGCTATTGGACGCTCCGATATTTACAGTCGCAATCCAACCAGTGGCCCGCCATACATTTTACAAGTGCAATAAAGTGAAACGTCAAACGGGATTGTTATTCATTTTCATACATATGCACTAAGAAAACGTAAATTTCGACATTTATTTATCATATCATGTATTGTGTGGAGGTTAAACGCGATTGTAATGCTTTATCACCTGTAACGTTTTGCATTGTTGAGTCCTCAATTTGAAATTTTTTTTCTGTGCAGGTCTGTCAAAATGCTTTTGTGCCGAAAAGTCCTCTAATACAACACTTAAACTCTGTTTACCAATGTTAAAATTGTTTGCTCGGAATTAATTCTGCCAGTAGCACATTGTTTTGTTGTCAGATTCACTGTGCTCATTGTATTCGAACTGTCAAACTTTGCTGAATTCTGATATTGAATGAACCAATTTAGGTGCCACAATAGTTTGCTAGTTAACCTCAGAAGATATTAGTGTAGTTAGAAGTCGCGAACGCATCATCCAAACGCTAAGTGTATGTTAAAGTGCTGATTTTGTTTCAGGTTTACAGGACGCGAACTGAAGTGCCATGTAGTGAATGATGTGACATTCTACACAATGTTGTTGCCGCGTTCTAAGTGTAAAGCAGTAGAAGGATCGTGAACATGTAGGTTGTGGACAATTTAGCGAGATGTCGTTGAGAGGCACAAAGCGGGCGACTGGGATGCGCGGTGATGAAGCCGGCGTATCCAAGCGCCGCAGGACGGAGCCCGAGGATGCTCTCTGGCAGCTCCGGCCTGTTAGTGACCTCAAGATGTCATCAATATATAACAGGAGTGCCTCTGAGGCACCCGCAGAACTATTCAGGTTTGTGTGAATTGTTTGGATTGGATGCAATTATTAAAACATGGTACATAGTTTTAAGTTCAGTATACCATTGATGAGATTGTTATTAGAAAGTAAATTGCATTAAGTGTACATCACACATACTTACCTCTGGTTTCTGCAATCTGATTCATCAATCCATTATCAAATGTCACTTACTGTGCTCTTGTCAATAATTTATGAATACACCTATTTGGATACCTAAATGATACATGATTCATGTTCAGAAACCGTAGGTAAATATTCCTTCATCTACTTAATCTATTCTGTAATATTTACCTTAAGTACTGTATCTCTATTAAGTTATAGTTTAATTTGTATCTATTATATTTTATTACCTGCCAATGCCATTTCCTCTATGTATTGAAGCCCTAGCGATTCTTTAAACTGCTATGTATAGGTTCAGTAACACTGATATAATTGTTTAAATGAAAATATCATACATATGCTTGCTAAGAATTTTTATTGCAGAAAAGTTATCTAAGTGCCAAAGAATAGTACTTGATTATATATACTTGAAGTTAAACAGGGTTCAATCCCCTAATTCACACATCAATATAATTATTATTAAGGGATATAAAAGCAAAACATTTCCCAATCCAGTACAAAATTAATAGCTAAAGCACACTTGCATTGCAATTGTTCCAATAATCAGCGAATTTCTTAATTGCAGTGCTTAGACATACTTTTTCTTGAACATCCTCTATTTTCATGATTTAAAGTATTACTTTGACAAAATGAAATCCCTCTTAATTCAATTTTTTTTTCTTTTTGTATTATTATTTGCTATGCCATACAAAATTACATTTTTAAAGTCAAGACAGCATATAAATTAGCCCATACATCGATTGAATGTTGTTGCTAAAACAGTACACAGTCCTAATATTAACTAAATAATATACATAAGAAATGGTGATGGTTATATTAATTTTAGTCTATTATTGTTGTATTTATATTTGTTAAGAATACACTGCGACTATAGATATAATATTATCAACTGTATATTAATATTAAGTATTGTTATTCGTAAATTACAGTAAGACATAGACAATGGATTGGGAGGATGTGCCTATTTTTAGTACATAAAGATAGATAATTTACTGGAAACCAACTCTTAAAAACAGATTTACGGAAGGCTGATAAAATAAATCTTGTTTGTAAGCAAATAGTTCCCTTCAGATTCAGTTTACATTGAATTTTTTGTCAGCGTGCTACAAATCTGTGTACACATAGTCCGTCATTAGTATTATGAAAAAACCATATGAAAAATCCAGCAAACATTTTTAATTGTTATCCCTGTTTTTGCCATAATATCATTGAAAACTCTATCGAAACATGTCAAAATCTACTAATGCTGCTGCCCTATACACAAAATGTTTACCAATTTGAAAAGGAATGTTCATATAACTTTTTATCTTAGCCAAAAGAACAAGATATGTACTCACGAAACAATCTAACAAAGTAATCTTGTTCAAAAGAAATCCATAAAAATTCCAACTATCCTGAAAATGGATTTCACTAGTTAATTATTAACTATAAATTTTTTACTTTTTAAACTGTCAAATACCAAGCGGTCACCGGTGACCGCAACCTATTGTTCTTTAATTGTGTCTGCAAAACCGGTACTCGACGAGTTAAATTCATTATAGCAACTACAGGGTACCTACTTTCTACAAACTACACTACACAATATACTTATGAAGAAAAACAAGTATTTACATAGTATACAATGATAATGATGGTGTATTATTTATAATTTTATTAGTATACCAAAAATGTAGTAATTTTTAAGTTATATTACACTACTTTTACTGTAGAAAATATTCAGCCTGTAAACTTAGATTTAAAAACCTCCTTGTATTTAGAAATTTTCCATACATGTATTTACGAAAAAAATACCGTGATACTGGAATAACTATGATATTCAATGCAATGGGGATGGTCTATGTGGCCATGAGTAATATTAACTACGTTGTTTCTCCCGAAAGTGAGCCAAGAATTCAAGTTTCTCTTTGTTAGATATTCTGTTCTAAAAACCTTCTTGAACTACCTCACTAGCCAGGTCTGTGACATCTCTTTTATCTGTGTTGCTATTTCACTGTTTGAAAACATCAAAATTTAAAAAGAAATTATTCAATAATATACTAGAAAATACATATTTTTCGTCATAATATTTACTACATTGGTTACAAAATACACTCCATGGCTTTATAGCTCATTATTAGTAATGCGGTACAAGCATAGTAGAGTGCACAGAACCGAAAAGAACATGAGAATGTTCCAAAACATATTATCATTGCCAAAGCAACCACAAACCCAAATAAATAGATAGAGTCCTGCGAACAAAGTAGAGGGGTCATATCCTTCGAAGATGTCCATCTTCTCGACTCTTCACTCCGGAGACGTTCAGGTACAAATATCTTAAGTCCTGAAACAAAAAGACAAACTATTTGTTCCACAGTTAAAGCATTGTGTAAACATACGCAGTTATAAAACGAATTTTAAGAAGGAGGGGAACTTTATTTTGAATTGTAAAGTGTCTGTGATTGCGTTTCATTCATACTTGAACTGTCCATAACACCATGAGATATTGTGTATGTTAATTGGTTGTGCTGGGCTTGACATGTTAAGGTTATTTTCTTGCTCCCAATATTGTATGGAGTATGTTAAAATATTCACCTTATTAGAACTCCGACCGGGAACGCTTGAGTTGGGTTGCCTGACAGCTTCCCTAATTTAGTTCTGAAAGATTTAAAAGTCCATATTAAATATATAATCACAGCTCAAACATTTAGGGTAATCTGTTCAGAAGTTGTTATAGTTTTGTATAAAAATAAGTTTGTCAGCAAAGTAAAAATTGACACCTTCATGTACTGCATCATGTTCTAAGTAGTTCTAAGTTTTGTCTATACTTGGTCAGGATTCATGTAAACAGATTGTTAAGAATCCTCAAAGGTGGATCACACCACACTGCACTTTTCTGTGCTTTCATCCTTTCTCTGTCACTGCCAATAAATGGTTTACGCAGTGTTATTGACGGGATATTGTTCTACCCTTGTCGTTGTTTTTACAAACAATCCACATTGATTTTGACCTATGTATTTGTCCAAACACATTTATTCAGTGTACTAAAGTTTTTGAGATAATTGTGGCTAAATAAGAAAAACGTTAAATCAAGGGACGGAATTAGAAATTATACCCATGTTAAATGCTTGTGTAACATATGGTAATTTCATATCACTACATTTTTTTTTAAATTGTAAAATCCATATTCATTATTCTCTGTTACCTTCCAATAATCACTGATTCTTTAGAATTAAGTTGAAATTACCTGACGGACTTTAACACTGATGCACAATCATGTACATTATAGCTATGAACAATGTTTTCTTCTAATTCTTATCTTTAAACAACTATTTTGTATTTTAAATCTTATTTTTTATTGCAAGGCACATTCTCCCAAGTTTTCCAAAACTAAAGTAATGCTTGGCGTATTAAATCTCAGGGTACAGTGCAGATCAATATGTGTCAAGCGAAATTGATCCTTTTGTCATAGTTCATAGTAAATTGTTTCCAATCGATGGGTAATTGATGCATCGTATGGGTACCTTGAATATGTGAGCAGTAGTTAGTGATATGATGGCTACGATTGTGTAATTACGTTGAATTAAGGGAAAAAAGCTCATAAAGTTTCTATAATTTGTCTTTCAAGGCGCTTTAACTCCATAGAATTATAGTTTGTTATCTGTTTCCCAACTGGAAATTTTTACGTTATACTAATCGAAGATTTTGTATTGCGTTTTGAATTAACTGTTCTATAGAAACTAACTTCAATTTATATAGTTTTATTTAACTACTAAGTTCAGTGGGCATGTGTGCAATAACTTACTAACTTGTCTAAAATCAATCTTCATCAATATCACCGGCTTTTAATAATAATACATAATAATACATAGTAATCTTTTCTGATATTTGTATTACATTTTAGATCATTTATGTGTAAATTTTGGAGATATCTGCCTAAAACATCTTCTGAAGGTAACGGTTACTATAGTAAACTCATGGACATGTATTAAAGGGTACACAATATTTATTAAAATAATCATATATTCAACTTTGTAAAAGGACTACCCAAGTAAAGTAAGTTGCGCCAAGGTGTCACAGCTCGGATTCGAATTAGACTGACACGGGTATTGTTGATAGTACCAAGGTAAGGTTTACACTAGATTTTTATCTAGTGTCTAATACGCATTGCAGAAAAGATTAATATGTATTATATTTCAAATTTACAGACTATACGAGACCACAAACATAGTCAAAATTTTATTTTTTTTAAATTTAAGTTTAAATTTTGTCGTGTGGTCTGTAAATACGTCATGGGTATGGTATCTTCAACTGAAAACGTGACAACATGTTAAAAACCTTAATTATATGAATTCCAGAAAGGACCTTATCAGCGCTATGAAACTGCCGGACAATGAGCCACTTACACAGTCTTCATACTGGGTTATTACCGACACGTGGAAGCAGGATTGGGAGAGAGGAGTACAGGTTCCTGTCAATCCTGACTCCCTCCCCGCGCCCAAAGTCAAGATCATTGACAATCCACAACCACCAAACTTTCAAGAATTCAAATTGTAAGTAATTTTTATGACAAACCTGTACTCTTTGAACACATTTTTAGTTTTTAAATCTAACGACCATAATTATCCTTAAATTCTCAAAACTCACCTGATAATTGGAATTAGAATCGAAGATTGGAATACAGTGAACACAAATCACATTAATTTGTAGTAATATTTAATACTTTTTGTCTGACAGGCCTAAGGACAAATATATTCACCTCAGTCGAGATGCTCACTACCATTCAGACAAACACATACTGAGTCAAACGCCGGCGCGAGCCGAGGCCGCTTGTAGTTATGACTTGGATGCGGCTGACACTGCATGGCTCAAACTGTTGAACGCAGAGCGCGCAAGGGCAGGCGCACCGCCCGTCACAGAAGATCAACTAGAAAAAGTCATCGAAGAACTAGAGGTAAGTGTTGCTCTATTATTTGCACTTCTCACAATACCTTCAGATATTGTGATTTCCAATTCACAGTGTACATTACTTCAAACAATTTTCGACCTTAAGGATGTGGGTTACGCAAAACGACAATTTTTAACGACGTATGTGCTGCCGGTGGTATTAGAAATTGTTCACTATTTATTAGACGTTAAATCCTTTTTTGCTTAAACGACTTCTAATGTTGTTTTCTTGGAATGCATACGAATAATGCAATGATTTGCGTGTTACATATTAGATAGTCACTGTAACAATAACTTTGAAGTTGACCTATATTCAAGTGCAAAGTTGATGCATGTTTCTGTTAAAATCTCTGATTTACATGAAACATTGTTGATGAATAGCGTATTTATAATAAATAGGCTTAGACCTTGTCTTGATTCATATCCGACGCAAAGATATATTTTCATGTTCAATTAACTGTTTGTACATAATTGGTAAAGCTTTTTGGGATCTTAAATGAATTCATAATTTGCTTTAGGAAACCAACCGGATTGTGTTACCGTCTTTTTAAATCGGTTAAACATTATGTCCTAAGAGACCGGGTAGCTATGGATTATTTTATTAATTTTCTGCAAAATTTGCACACATGCAATTATAAATGACATAAGCCATCTCTATAATACGGTTACTGATGATAAAATCAGAATAACTTATATTCATATTTACGCAGTAAAGGGTCATAGATCACTTACGCCGAGATTCTTTGTTAAGGCGTTCAACACACAGGAAAGATGCAAAACATTTGATGGTTACTGATTGGCAACCATATTCACACATCTAGTCACGTTGAGTTCCACTTACGAATAATATTTTCAGGTGCCGACACCGATTTAAAGTAAAACTGATTATTCTGAAAGCTCTCGCGTGGACAGCTGTCTGGCCTGTCCGACGATATTTTAAAAGCCTTTCATTTCTACGGACGACGCGACGATGTTACAAAATACTTTGTGCCTTACTCTACTCTACTCTACTCATACTCTTTAGTAAATGCTTTCAATATTGCAACGTGAACTGTTAGTTAGTTTATCTAGTTCCTAGTTTCCGCAAAGATTTCCGAAGACACTGAATTCTTTATTATTGTCAATGTCTATTTTATATTGCCGTTACACAGCCACCGCGAAATCAAGTTTCGGAAGTTTATTTGTTGGAAACTCTCGTGTTAATAAAGTTATTCTGTATTTGCGACTTGCTCTTTGATGTTTAACTCTCAATCTTCGTGAGAACTTGAGAAGGAAAACGATGTATTTTTCACAATACCGTGCTTTGTATGGTATCCGATTGTAATCGAGTTTGCTCCAGTAACAATTGAGACAAATCCTTAATAGGATTAAGAAATTATATATTAGGTTAAATAAATTATAAATAATATTAACCTTCTACTGTTTCTACACGTTGTTTTCTGATGTCAATTAATATGACCCTCATATTGCCCCGCGGTTCTTTGATCCATGTACCCATTTTTGGCATGCACAGGGACCACCCTAGGGCTCAATGAGGGTTCCTAACTAAAGCTTATTGCTGTCCAGTCGTCGTAATTAATTTGTCCGCGTCATGTTGGTACGCTTTCAATAGCGAAATACTAATTTAATTCGAAGTTATTACGTATACGCTTCGTATTACTGACATCAAAGGAAAGGCAGCAGTTTCAATTAGTAGCAATCCTTTTGATATGTACCAAAATACTCCAGGTACATACTCCAGGTACAGACAGTACAGATGCGTCGCAAAAAATTTTTGTGCTTATTTATTTTCTACAAGGAAATTAACTTAGGTAATACGTACCTACCGTTATCGCGGGACATGTCGAAACTGACGTTTGATAACTGGTTGAACCTTTATCTAAAGTCGCGGGTAATAGTTACGCGGCTCGTATGATATACCTTACTGTCATAGATTCAAATTAAACGTTTAAAAACATTATGTGAATAAAACTATCAAAGTATTTTCATTTTCATTTCATTAAACGTAGTAAAATCGGAGATCCTATCTTGCATCGATCGTGCGTCCATGTATGTTCAAGTTTTATGATGTTAATAGTTTTTGGAATCCTTGCTAAATTGACATTGTAAAGTTGCAAAATTGAGGAAACCGCGGCGCGAGCGTAGTATGGCGCTGGTCGCTTTTACTTTGGGCCGGGAACACCGCGAGGGGGGCGACGCTCGCTAGACATACACACACGCATACACACACGCACACGCACGCGCATACACACACACACACACACACACACACACACACACACACACACACACACACACACACATATCCTTTGTGAATACGCCAGGTCCGATCACTCACACTTCTTCATTTTAACCCCTCAGTGCTTTTATTGTTTCCGCGCTGCAATTTTGAATGCATAAAACTTTATTAAAATTGACCGGTGGCCGGTACTCAGGTACAAAACACTTTATTACGTTGTCATATATGTACGCTGCGTTCACTGTCAAACATTAAGTACACTCATAGGCCCTCGCATGTAGGAATTAATTGGTAATACGTTAAATTATTGAAAATTGAACTTTATTGCTAACGAACTAAGTTACTTTAGTTCCTGCTCTATGAAAGTATGAAAGTAAATCTCTTAAAAATAAGGTTGCGCGCTGTGAGTCTAGTTAATCCTCGTGTACATAATGTTGTAGCAATAACAGGTGGCGCTATTATAAGTAAGCAACATGCATTAAGATAGATTATCTTACAGTAGCTGCATAAGTCTAGACTAGACGATTGATTGGGGTAAGCGGGTAAGCTCGCATCGTACATACGCTAAGAAGCTTAGTGCTCACTTCAAACACAGACAGCGCTTTAACGAGCTTACCTATACACTGCGAATATCAATATTCTTATTCCTGATAGTCGTCTTTGTTAAGGGATATTTAGTATTTACCTGCGCTCTTGTACAGCTTTGAGAACCCGATTTCACGATCTGTAGGATGCTGATCTTAGCCGATAGGTAATGTTAGTTTGTTTACTTTATGCGGCGGATAGCGGTTCTACAGAAACTGCAGAACTACAGATAATAATTTCACAGAGTAGAGAAATGCAGAGCAAGTTGTCAAATGTATCAGATGAATTAACTCAAGTACTGTGAACAGAAACTCAACTCATAAAGTGCAACATAAAATGTTTCCTTTGTAACTCGTTACAAACAACATTAAAACGAAAAAGATACACGCTCTCTGCACTGAGCTGTTTATTCGTTAAACGTAGTTTTTGCATAGAAGTGAATTATTTATCATTTTCTTTTCCTCGTATGTTTGCGAAAATGCAATAAGCCCGTACTTTGTGAAACGGAGACAAAAAACAAACAAGATAGTCGCTTGCTATGACAGGTTGTTTAAATGGTCGGCGTAATTCATTTGCCCTCCTGATATAGCGAATATTTGCTATCTAGTGGTTTAGGTCCCCTTTACTTGCAAGGGAGGTGGTGGTCTCGCCACCCACCACCCTGGTAAGCCGATGTGATTGGTCCACGCTGGAATTTCTAAAAATAATAAAACGCTCAACGGCCCCATTCATTTAGTATTTCTGCAAGTATCTCGCGGCAATATTTGTTTTTGTTTGTACGTGCATTTTCATCAAACAGAGGGCACATATACAGGATTGACGCAAAAAATGAACGGTTCAAGTTCAATATCAATAGATTAAATTTTCACTGCCCCATATTTTAAAGTTGTATGTGTAGTGAAGTAATATTCTCATACTGTTTGTATGCGTACAAAGGACCTTTGTATATGAGGTAGCTACAAGGATTTTGTTGGCGCCTATGAATTAAATTATCTCATGTAATTGGCTACCTTGCCTATAATACTGTAATAACATAAAATGATAAGGGATTTTTACTCATAAAGAATTATTGTGCATTATTCTCTAGCTGCTCGCTTAATGTAGTTAGATACTGATGTTGCAACAGTAGCCTTGGCTGGCCAAGGCCACATCTTCACTCGAAAGTCCTCGACTATCTGGATAGTCGAGGACTTTCGAGTGCTGCAATTATCAATAGTCTGATAGGAAGCAAAGCTCGTTGGGGCTCAATTAGTCGTCCGTATCAAAGACCGCGGTAGCTCAACCCCGGTCTGAGAATATTAAATGTGCTGTGCGACCTTACGTTCATTAACTCTTGGGTATTTTCACTTTTTTTATTAACGTTCATTTAAAGTTGTATTCAGTGACTAAGGTGTTCGGTACGTGTAAATAGGTCTCTCAATAAGGGGGTCCTCACCCCATTGAGGCACAGAAACCGAAATACTATTATGAACTTACAAATACTATCATCAGGTCGTCCCACACACCGCAAGCACTAAAATCTGTACTTTTAAATTCTTGTAGTGGACATCTTACGGACGTGTGATGATGAATAGAAGGTAACTCAATTACTCAAATACCACAACATGTTAGTTTCATATTTGCAGTATGCATTCATTAAAAATGTGCCGCAAAACAAAGCTTACAATTATTAAGCTTAATGTGTGCAGTGCATTAAGGTTCATAAGCCGTGGTTGGGATCTTTCGAACTACATACTTGTGTAGGTACATCAAACTTTGATACAACGTCTGACTCCACCGTCCAGTCCCGCTACGTAGATAAAGTTTGCCTCTTGCAGTTCGCTATTTGGATATCCAGGAATAGTTTGAGTGATAATTAACGCACGTAGAAGTTACGAGACGGACGCTTCCATGCTATTTTGCTAATTCCAGTCTTTCGAACTAAGGCCCTCGAATATAAACGAAACGTCTGCTTTTTGACATGTTCTCACGTCCAGGTGTTGATTAGGGACATTCAGTCTAAATTTGAATTGAGAAATTTTATTACTGTTTGTTTTCAAATCAGTAGTTCTGCGGAGTAACGTGCGTACGTGATTTCAGATCCCGTAGTTTCTGTGGAATTTACATACATATTTCATTCATGGCGACTGTGACTATTATAGAAATTCCTTTTTCGCGCATCTACATTTATCAAATTAGACTTA